TAATGAGCATACTGGGTCACACATAGGAGCAGCTGCTGGGGCTTTTCCTAGAATACTAAATACTAAAAGACATACAAAACATGTAAAGCAAAAATGCTTGCCTATTCTATGAATCCCTGTTTCTCATATAGAATTTATTTAGTGGGTCTTTCAATGGCCAAACACAAAACATATTCTGCTTAAGAAATTGGCATGACTGTAGACTAAAGTTGACACTAACAGTTACTTTCTTCTGAGTTCAGCTACCAAGCCAGTTAAATAAAATACAAAACATAGTTAGACAAAAGCCAATCTGATATAATCCACGTTAATGAATGGTTAATCAATACACTCCTTCTGTACATCCAAATAGACAAGAAAAAAGCAGTTTTCTCATTCTTCCATTTTTCTAAACATCCTTTCATATACAGACTGTATCAGCCATTTTTCTAATGAACTTCACTGCAACTTCATATACAGTTACATTTTATAAGTAATTGTATAAATATCACCTAATATTGTCCTTCAGTAAATATGGCCATTGGTTTCAAAGGCAACCCGATTTTGTCCCTCCAAATTATCCTTAGGTCCATCAAAAATATAGCAGAAGAAAATATATCTGTGTTTTCTGTTAACCTTCTGGCCATGAAGAATGTGGCAAAGAAAACACTTGTGAATGACCATGTCTTTGGAAAATAAAATGCTGGTCACAAAAATGCCTAATATTGTTATATTTAAATACTCATCAAATGAAGATGTGCTGAATCCAAGAAAAAATAGATAAACTTGGAAGTCTATCAAGGGATAGAAAACACATGAATCTCAGTATTTATTCCATGATCCGTTTTTTAAAAAAAAAAAGCCACGCTATTACAGAGAGAAATGTTTTCCAGGGGAGAGGCACCATCTTTCCAGCCGTACGTACTATTTAGAGTAGTGTGAACCCAGAGCTTCAGTTATTAAAGAACTTCAGCTGGCTTGGAAAACAGCAGGAAAAATAACTACAAACTCTCCTATTTTTACTGTTTCCTGTTTTTAGGCTAGGGTCAGGGTCAGAATAATATTCTACGTATTCTCCTCTCACAGTGTCTTGTAAAGGGATCCAACAACAGCCAACTCAGATACTGCCATTTCCCTGACTACGCAAACAAAGGAAAAGCCAGCTTGCACCCACAGACAACACACAAAGCCATCCCAGAAAGGATGCTGAGGATGTTGTGGTACCTTAGCTATTATATAATGCTAGAGATAGGCAAGATGTCTTAAACTTTGCACTTAAGTTTTTACTTTAATGTGTTTCATAACTGGAGAAGCCATAACACAATGCAAACAGAAACAGCATGCATTAAGGGATTCCAGTAAAAAAGCATTAGCAATTTTAATAACCTTCCTCAACAAGCCTGCAATTTGTATCCTAACTGAATTGTACACTTTCTAGTGGTCCTACGCAGCACTTCGATAGATGTTTGGAGCTTTTCCTTCAGAGCTGTGTGCAGATTTTAGCATAGACACTTGTCTGCTAACAGGAAGCATGCAGGTGATACACAAAACATAAGAAGGTGTCTCCTGGCCAAAAGGCTTAGGATTTTGAAATAAACCAGAACAAGAGAACGTGCCAAACACCAGGAGGGAAAGTTTTCAGATCACTTTGCTCAGAAGCTGCACAGGCTGGTTACTGTATGACTTGACTTCATTTGACGCAGCTTTTTTATCCTTTTGTATTTAAGGAAACCAATGTCATAGATGGGAGACCGCCTTGTTATATAAGGCTTACAACCTTCAGGAGAAAGGAATTAATTCAAATAAGCTACTTTTAGTAACCTAAAAGTTACTAAAGTAACCTAGTAACCAAAGCTAATCATTTAGCTTTGATCCAATTTGAAAATTATTGTTCAGATTGCACTAAGCAGTATTAAGATGTATTTGAAAAAAACAACATCAAAATCAGAGCTTCATCTAGAAACAGTACAGTCAGCTGTTTCTTCATAAAAATGCTATTACCGTGATCTCGTAAATTCTGATACTGTTAACGTTGCCCCTAGCAAGGATGGGTTTGTCAAATCGCTGGTTCTTTTGTTCATAAAACAAATGGGGGGAGGAAGTGTTCTATTCAGTGAGTCAAGTTTAACATCCTTTTGCCTCCCAATGTGGTAAAAAGCTTTCCGAGGGGAGCATTTAATAAAACTGCAACAGTTAAAACTCCCACACTGTATCTGTGTAATTCCACAAACTTTTCCATTACACATCAACTGTCATTATGCAGAAAAAATACCAAATACTTGGTAGGCAGCAGTTGCAATGGAGCCATTTTTTTCTAAATCCTTATATTAAATAAACCTTCCTAATGAATAATAACTCTATCAGATCTCACTGCAGTACAGCTCACTGATCCTGCACGCTGAAAACATGATCTAGCTGTGAAGTTTTTTTTCTTAAGGTTCTGTGTTCTTAACACACAATAAACTCATTATAGCCATGCTATTGGCTTAGGCCATCTCTAGCATTTATGATAAATTCTTCTACAAATCACAGTGGCTGGTTCTCACAAATACATGAGTAAACCTGTAAAAAGCAACGTTTAGGGAAGTGATCGTGCCCCTGTACTCGGCACTGGTGAGGCCGCACCTCGAATACTGTGTTCAGTTTTGGGCCCCTCACTACAAGAAGGACATTGAGGTGTTAGAGCGTGTCCAGAGAAGGGCAACGAAGCTGGTGAGGGGTCTGGAGAACAAGTCTGATGAGGAGCGGCTGAGGGAGCTGGGGTTGTTTAGCCTGGAGAAAAGGAGGCTCAGGGGAGACCTCATCGCTCTCTACAACTACCTGAAAGGAGGTTGTAGCGAGGTGGGGGTCGGTCTCTTCTCCCAAGTAACAAGCGACAGGACGAGAGGAAATGGCCTCAAGTTGCGCCAGGGGAGGTTTAGATTGGACGTGAGGAAAAATTTCTTTACTGAAAGAGTAGTTAAAGATTGGAACAGGCTGGCCAGGGAAGTGGTTGAGTCACCATCCCTGGAGGTATTTAAAAGTCGTGTAGATGCGGCACTTAGGGACATGGTTTAGTGGGCATGGTGGTGTAGGGTTGATGGTTGGACTCGATGATCTCAGAGGTCTTTTCCAACCTTAATGATTCTATGATTCTATTTTTCCACACTTCCACTTTTTTCAGACAGAAATTTGGGCAGATGCTGAAATAAGCTCTTTTGACTCAAGAGAGTTTGAAAACCTATGGAGTCTGCTTGACTCCTTTTAACTAAGGAAAAATACATCAAAAGTGCCACCACCCAGAAAGGACTCCACTTGTGGCGACAAAGCAAGAGGAGTTCACAACAGATTGTGTGCATCAGTGACTACAGTCTCTTCTCTCTTAACAGAGAGAAAGAATAGTTAGCAATTGTGATGCTAACGTTACCGTCCCAGTTAGCCACCAGCAACTGAATAGTTCAGTTCCCCTGCAGTTATTGGTTCAGCTCTCAATAGACTCACACAGATATCCTGAACTGACTAACTAACTGTTAAGAAGGCTTTTATTTTTAAAGTCATAAATACTAGAGAACTAGAAAATAACTTGAGACATATATTCAGTGCGTATTAAATCTCAGAATGTGTCATTTAAACAACATTTGCTGGAGTTATCTGCCTTTCAATAGTAATGGTTTAAAACCACTAATTTGAACAGCATTTGGGTGTTTCCTTTTAAATGGCTCTTTTTGTTCTTACACCTTCCTTGTCCTTTTCAATTTTGTTCATAAATAAGGAAAAGATGAAAATAGAGGTGTTTTATTCTTTCACTATTTTCTGGGAACAAGCAACTGACACATCTAATACCTACTGATTAATTAGTGCTAAACACATCACTCATTACAGCTTTATTTTGGTTTGTGCCCACCACATTTTCAAGATTAGTGAAGATGAAATACAGATCTCTGAAAAAAATCCTTATCAAGTTGATTACACATTTCTGTACTATTTAAGTTTGAATATGAACTTTAGACAGATTTGATAGTATACAACCAAATTTTTGTTACATGTGCCATAAAATTCAGTTTGGTATAGCATATATTAAAACTAACCAGCTGACCGTGTAATCAGTCAGATGTGACAGATTTACTCAAGATGGATAACAGCATACACTTCATATTATATTCCAAAGGAAATCTTTCAAAATAAGTATGAAGGAAAACATTCTGGAAATTTCAGCACTATTGTTGTAAATACTTGTAAGATAAACTGCTGGATTAATCAAGCATGCGTCAAACATACAAGGCCAAAGCTAACGAGCACATCACATACAAGGCCAAAGCTAATGAGCACATCATGAGATACATAAGTACTAGCAGAAACCAGACAAGGACAACCAAAACTGTGGCAAACGGCAGTGATGAGCCAATTCTCCAAATGAGGAGAAGGGCTCAAAGGTTCAAGAAAAGTTCACCTCCTGCAAAGACCACAAGAGACCACGAGAGACCACCTAAGACACCTGCAGATGCTCCTAAGGACTCAAAACGCATGCATGAAAGACTATGCAGATATTATAATTAGTTCTTAGAAACATAATGAATATGTATGATTATTCCAAGAAATTATTATGAATATGTATATCGAAGAGCCATATAAGGGATGGTTGATGCAACATACGGTGTGCACGCTAGGAGGAAAGATGCCCCATGCACCCGGCTGAATAAAGTAATGCCTGCTCTTTAATACACCCAGTGTTAAGGAGTTTTATTCCTGATTTTTGGTGACGCTATCAGTGTCAAAAAAAATTTTTTAAATGTATAACCTATAAAAAACATCTTTGCTAAAATAGAAATTGCTCTGTATGAGTCTGACCTGATTAAAGCTTATTTCCTCATTGCTGTGTTATTTTATCTTTTAGGAAAGAGAGAGAACACTCACATCATTAAAGTTTTTAAACTTTTTTTTAGATGGTGTACACTTTTCAGAAATCTAATTATTTGTAAGCTGCACCAGGAAAAAAAGTAGTTCTTCCATCTCCCTACTTTTTCTCCAAAAGAAACACACACCTTGATGGATTTCACAGGAGCACCTGTGTAATTTCCTAGCCTCTGAGCCTTCCATTATCCCATGAGACATCAGGACCTGCAAGAACCGTCGATGAGCATCAGTCATCTGAGCTGCCATCGCAATATTCCACCAGGCTTCAAATGCTGCAAGAGGTATAAGCTGGAATTAATGCACATGTTCACACAAATTAAAAATACATAGTCCAAGCATACATAAGATTTCAATTAAACTCTCTAACATTGAATCAGGGCAAAAAAGCAGATCCCCCAGGTTGTTCTCAGAATACCAATGGTGACTAACTCCAAGATTCCAGGAGAAGGATGCAAAAGATAAAGTCCAACTAATTTTAGCTATGGAATAGAACAATGTAGACATTGCGCTATCATACCCCCAAACCAAAAACAGTAGTGTTGTATGTATAACAATCAACAGAACACCTTGCATAGTTTTGTCAGATGCTTCTGCTTACTACATATCCTAATAACTTGTCTAATTAGAGCATAACTTACTTCAGACAGAAGATCCTCCTCTAAATGTTCTGAAGAACATCAGAACTAAATAAAAGCATCTCAAGAAATTCCTTGACCACCGCAGCCAAATAATCGTTCATAGTCCACAAGAAAAAAAGAAGCTTCCAGACCCCTCCAAGCTGAAGGACCAGATAACGGACCAAACCGAGAAATGCTGCATAACTTACTTCAGACAGAAGATCCTCCTCTAAATGTTCTGAAGAACATCAGAACTAAATAAAAGCATCTCAAGAAATTCCTTGACCACCGCAGCCAAATAATCGTTCATAGTCCACAAGAAAAAAAGAAGCTTCCAGACCCCTCCAAGCTGAAGGACCAGATAACGGACCAAACCGAGAAATGCTGCTGCGTGCTGCAATTTTAAAGCCTCGCTCTTCCCCCCCGCCCCGGCACACGGACGGTCCCGACCAGCAGCGCCGAGCCAGCGGACGCGCTCGGGCGGAGAGA